ACACACAGACTGTGAGTATTTTGTTTAAAAACAATAGGTCACTCACTACAGGTATTTTTCACAGCAATGACGGTATCGTGTAGTCATTTTTGACCGAATACTTCACGATCAATACTACTTCATTATTTGGTCCATATGTAGTGCTGAATCAGTGTACTAGGAAGAAATCCACAGGACTGACTCCAAGAAATCAGCAATTCCAGTGACATATGAAGGCTTGAGAATTTTAGAATAATCTGCCTTGACGGGGAATCGAATCCCGGTCCCGCGAATTTCCGGTCCGCTGCTCTACCAGTGAGCTACCGAGGGCTGACGATTAGGTGCACAATTTAATATATGACTTCTGCTTGGTGCGCGACGTATTGCCAATGAGCTCACAGTAACTGTCCTGGTGTTGCAGATTGACTCACTCACTCGTCACTTCCCAAGGGACCGAAGTAACTGTCCTTCTGAAGTCCAAAGGGCGATGGTAGATTACTTGAAAGGTGTTCGAGAGTAGCGTAAGGTTCGTAGAAAGAAGGACAGTTACTTCGGTCCCTTAGGAAGTGACGAGTGAGTGAGCCAATCTGCAACACCAGGACAGTTACTGTGAGCTCATTGGCAATACGTCGCGCACCAAGCAGAAGTCATATATTAAATTGTGCACCTAATCGTCAGCCCTCGGTAGCTCACTGGTAGAGCAGCGGACCGGAAATTCGCGGGACCGGGGTTCGATTCCCCGTCGAGGCAGATTATTGCGCGCAGTTTAATCGTGACTTCTACTTTCTACGAAACTTACGCTACTCACAAACACCTTTCAAGTTCAGAATAGTTGTTCAATTCTAACCCACTGATGTCATTTGGTCGATGGCATGAAGATGCAGAAATTTGGTGCTCTGTAATCGCGCCGATGGATAATACTTGCGCTGCACAAGCCTTGACGATACATTGTGATTTCCAATCTTGGAAGAAGCAAATGGTGCCAGTTCCACCCCAAACGCAAAGAGCATTGCGGCTTGTATACGCTAGAGTGGTATTAAACTCGGGAGATGGGGAAGTGTAATCGGCCAATTCCAACCTTAAGAGTCGCTTGTAATAAACTCGGTCAGAACATTGTTCTAGCTATACGAAACGTGCGTTGTCAGTCAAATACTTTTCGCCAGCTATCCTTAAATAGGTCTATAAAATAGCTGTTATCAAGTTATGGACAGTTTGATTTGGTTGACGTATTTCCTGCGTTTATACGTCAATCATTATAATTGATATATCAAAATAATAATGATGTGTCAGCTATACGCCGTAATGGTGCTTCGTTGCCGCGCGAACATCACCAGTCGCGCGCAGGCTGAGTATACCGCGAGGACACCCACTCCTACGCGGATTCGAACCGGTGGTCTTATGGTAGCAAATCACACGCGTAAACCACCAATTCGGAGCCGTTTTTGTTTGTGATTTAACATTTAAATAGTTCTATAGTCTGTAACACCGTCGCCTAAACCAAAGGTTCTACCAAACGGTCAGAAAATTAACGGGTGTAACATAAGCGACTAATGTGACTTCATATAGGATGCCGTACCACACACGTTAAATATGTTAACAGAGGCAGAAAATCAAGTGATATTGCGGCGTTTGATTTACTTAGCTCCGCAACTTGAAAATTATTTCTTTGCCATCTAACTAGTCTGCGGACTTTGATGCCGCTTCCAGATCTGTACAAAGCTGATGTACAAGTTTGCTCATCTAGCAGGGCCTTTCATTAGCAACCACATGAGTTGTCTCAGAACTTTCGCTTTTCCTTGATCAAGATTTGGCGAAAGATTAAGATGTTCGAAGACTGGAACCTTCTCTAGGGCGACCTTGATAAAGCCTATAGTTAGTGAGTACGAAGCACGCTGCTGTTAAACGTTGGCATGTACGCAGTAGTTCAAATTCGACACTTACAATTTTAAAGCGCGTGCTCTATAAGCAAACTCCAGGGAAAGCAACTTTGGTATACTGATGATGGACAACGTCAGCTGTTCCCTATAGACTGAGTCGGCTTCAGATATTTCAGGTAATAAACGTTTTTTAACCATAGAGTGCAAATTTGAATACTGTGCTCATCATTCTTCTCGTTTATGCTCAACGAAGAGGTACTCTTCCATGTGGAATCACCCGTTCTGGCTGGGTAGCCTTGGCTAAAGTGTTATATGGGTGCATTTTGTGTCACATAGCATCGGGTAAAGAAGTATATCAGTGGGTCGTAGCGTTTTCCTTTTCAGCCTAGTTAAAGAAACTGTGCTTCTTCCGTGGATGTTATCTGCAGCTACGATGAGACCGCACGGTAACCTACTAAATACCTAGTGATCCCTACGAAGTATACCGTAAACTTGTGAAGCTCAGTCCTCCCGTAGCCTTATCGGTCACAAGCCTACCTTGTAATCTGAGGGCGTCGTTTCCAGCATGTGTAGCGACCGGGTGACATTGGCAGTATCCTTAGCCAACGTGCGAACGTCGGTTTTTGCGCAATGCTGCTTACCGGTGTATTGCTGATGCATTTTTCGTTTTTCTACAGCCCAAATACTAAAGTGGGAGGAAATTCTATCTTCGAGACTATCAATGAAATTAGTGTTTCTGCCGGCTTTACTGACCTAGCTACCATCCGAGCTCAACTATCAATGTTTGCATTTTAATAGTCTTTAAGAAGAGTTTTGATTTGGCGCTCATTTCCACGCGAGTTGTTACATAGTCCTAACACGCTGGAATGTGTGTATTTCCAGAAGCTAACCTAAGTGAAATTATAAGGTATGCCAAAACGCATAAGTTGGAGTGGGTAGCTTATTTAGCCAATTAGCCTTAACAACTTGTTACACTGTTTGACATGGTACTGACTCAAATTTCCCAAGCCGCTGCTAATCTCCCCTTTGTTACCTTGTATCACTGATGTACGCTTACTTCTGTTCGCATATGTGTTCAGTGCCTTTACGATTCTTGTACTAACCATCCTATATGATATATGTTAAATCCGTGCTTTTTATCTACCATAAAACCAATATCTACTATGTTACCGTTCCATTTAAAGACCTGAAGGTCGGAGAGAATTATGACAGGACACTTACAGCTCGGAATGAAAAAATTTCTCTGCATGCTGATTTCCTAAGTAATCAACTACTGTTCAATGTTTACCCATAATCGAGCCATATATTACAAGGAGTGTAAACAGTTATTTCAGTAAATTCTACTGCCTCCTCCGGGTTACTCTCAGCCGGGTATGCAGTACGCAGAACCCTCCCGAGTGACGACGTCCGTCAAAACAAATTCGTGAAAAACATGCCGATTACCACCGTGAATAATAATAAACAATCCTTGGTAAACGGCTCTTATCCTGTAAACCACGATTAATTTCAAAATCGTGTCCAATACCCAGCCGATTTTATGTCATGTAAACTTTACCTAAACGAAATTCTAAGTTTCTAACTGTATGAAGTTGCTTTGCATGAGAGAAATGATGAGCAGATAGCCAACGTTTCTGAGTTGATTGCACGGTAACCATATGGTAAGCAGAACGATCACTGAACGAACAGTTTGCCTAAGGCAATCTGAGTTTGCGACCAGATTGGGACAAGGCTGTTTGCATCAACCAAATATCAACAATGCAATAACAATCTGCCTTATAAACTTTTAACATACACGGTGCTAACATCGCTTGTGTGAAGCGGCGGCCATGGGAATTGTGCAGCTACTCAATAAAAGAGAGAAATATTAATTAGAGGAGTCTTTTTAACGCCATAGTTGCATGTTTGGGCTGCGACGCGCAATCTTAATGTACATCACGATTCGCAGTGTAGTGAAATTAAGTGAATTCCATCATCGGAATCGTGGCTGATAAATCAGATGGATACTGTGGGTTGTGTGTGAGGCTGCCGGCCACTATGATTAGCGAACATGAGAAAAGATGATTAGGTATTTGGATTTTACTTCACGAGTCACGAATGCATGTACGATAGACGTTAACTTACCTTCATTGCAGGTGATCTATTTGAGTGCTCGCTGGCCTCATGTAATCCACCTTCAACAGTCTTGACTAAATTCAGCCTGGGATCGTGGAAACCGATAAATTCCTCCACCTTGGACACCCGAAGTTCCAGGGCTTTGTTCCGAACATATAAGGCGATAATTAATCCAGTGATTGTAACTAAGAGTGTAAATGTGAATACAATCCAGATATAGAGGCTAAACGCCAACGTTCGTCCGTGTAGCCGAAGTGGTTTGTTCGATTGCGGATGAGGTATTCCCACAGGGTAAGGAAAGTTTTGCCGTGGTTGAGCCTGATACCCAGAAGGGTCATGCGAGATTGAGCTGGCAATTAGAGGGTTATCCAGCTTTTCCGTATTAATTGGTGCAGAGAGCGAATAACATACCGAACTGTGAGGCACTGGATTGACCCTTGTTTTAGAAGTGCTAATTGGAGTTCTCACAGAATTGTAATGGGATAGCTGACCGCCAGGATGCATCGTTACCTACTAGGTGTCGTTCGAGGTCTCATGGCACAACCATCAAACTGGGCAGCTCTGGAAACGGAAAATGAATGGTAGCCTCAGGGGTCATCATCAATACGTATGTGATAACCTGAAAACCCGTTTATTGCTTATCGAATGACCCACTACGAATCCACTTCGCGGTTCAGTGGCCTGTGGGTTAGGCTCATGTAAAAAAATTTTCCATGGCGATGTTCCTTTACCGAGGTTAGAAAAGTCTTATTCGCACTGTTGAAACAACACTTTCTATATTTTGAATCAGATCATTGCACTAATCGATGTTATCATATCGGTTGCATTACGCGATAGAAAACGGAATACAAGGCAAAAAGAACAAAGTGCCAGTAGCAGGGCTTTTCCTTCGAAATTAAATACCAGTTTTCACACAGTGCGTGAGGAAACGTTAGCCGCTAGGAACTCTCGGCCGTGTCCTCCAGGATTTATAAACGATGCATATAGATATACATATATATATATGTCCGAAAGTAACTCTAGAGGTTTTGTTCCAGTGAATTAATTTCATAGGATAAGGGGTACCATGGATTTCCATAACACAGCGATAACGTCTTTCTGCGGGGCATATAAGAACAGAGACGAATAGATCAGCCTACCTTCCGTCAAGGACATGTGAGAAATCGCTTTGTCGAATGACATTTCGTGTAAAATGCGGGTAGAGAGTGGTCTGTCAACAGGAAAACTGAAGCGGCTTCAACTTACTTACTCATGTCATTCAAATATTGCCACACGTCTGATCATAGCATATACACAAAAACACGCCGAACTGCGCGTGTAACGAGCCAATCAACGAAAGCGACCAGTCCTGTTTATCTAACTGCCGGGATTGTGAATGCCAGTTAGTTGTCCAGAAAGAAGAATTTCCCGCCAGCGGCTACCTATCCATGAGATTTACAACTGGGCATGCATATATATATATATATATATATATATGGTGTCCGTAAAGTCTGAACACAGCATGGGATTTCGGAAGCTTTGGAATACAAATCACTTTTTGTAGATTTTTGTTGCGGTCACAATGGAAACCTACCAAAACCGATTTTTTTCCATGCGTTCAGAAATCATGAAACCCAGATCGGTTACAAGCCTATTTTGAGATTTTGGACAAATGATGGTCTGACGTTTTCACTAAATACAAATAAAATTAAAATCCAAAAATCATTAACATACCTTTCGTCTTCACAGATAAAACATGGAGTTGTCAAAAGAAGAACGAGTTGAGCTGATACTGTTAGTAAACATGAAGGTTGATCTTCCCGGAAGATAGCAGATGAATTTGATATACGTTATTCATGGAGAACTCAATTAGGTTTTCGGCGGTGGCAGATGATAAAAAAATTTAAGGGAACAGGCAGCTTCATGGAAAAACCGCGTTCAGTGTGATTAAGTTTAACAGTGAAAACGCAAAACATTGTGCTGCAAGATGAATTATTGTCTCCACTCAAAAGTTTTGGTGAAGGCTTCTTCAGTGGTTCCAACAGAATGGCGCACCTGACCATTTTGTCACAAATGTAATAGATAGGTCGAAAGTAATTTCTCTACCTGGATTGCAAGACGAGGTCATGCGCAGTAATCTCCTCTTTCAACAGACTCTAGTTCACTTCATTTTTTTGTTGTATGCCAATACGGAAAGTGTACCAATCAAAAACAGCCGATCGTATACGCTGGATTCAACGAATAAGGGCAATTTGGATTTTTTGCATCAAGTTCATGAAAAATTTGCGAAACTCATCGTCATTTGCATTTCAAACGATGGAAATCGTGTTGAATATGTTAGTTGAATAAAAAGTTCAGTTTTACTCATGTGTCCAGACTTTACACACATCCTGTATATGTGCGCATATATGGGTATAATAGAAAATATGACACGGCAAATCAACGCTAAACAAGTGAACAGAGTACTATCAAGTAGTGACCTACAACACACTCACCACGGGCAATGATTCATGACCTAGTTTAAGGGCTGGGTCAGTTTGAGCCTATGTTGGGATTTTATAGGAAAATAGGTTGCGTATAATTACCTAATTAATGACCCAACAAATAATAGTGAAAACTGCGAGATTAGGTAGGAAAATAGATTGTCAAAAGTGACAATAGATTGACACAATTTAGCAATGTATCACGGTAGGGCACAAGGCGCTTTTCAATCGTATAGCATACAGTCAGCCCCGTTGACATTCATTGGCCGTGGTGCACGTGATGCTTATGCTGTGTCTTTTCAAGTCTCACATGAGTCGATAAGGTCAAGTGACCTTGTATCGGCTACGCTTGCAAGTCCCGTCTGCGCGTGCGTGCGTGCGTGCGGATGTTACACCTACTAATCTATAGTTCAATAGTTCAATAGTGTATGCTGGATTAAAAAGCATAACTTTACAAGACCCACAGGATGGATACGCAGAAGGAAATTAAAATCAGTATGTCCCGAGGTGGAACGTGAAGTATCAGTGGTTAAACCATTTCAATTTAGCAAACTGTTGTATAGCGCTTATCACTAAGATGAAAGTCTAAGAGCCTTTCGAATGTCGTCATGTCTGGTGCGTTCACCATATATCTTGGCAATGCATTCCAGTGAGAACAGATTCCAAGTGAGTAAAAATACTTTCTACAATTCAGTTTGGTGTTGCGTCATTAGTTTTAGATGCTTGCCTCGGCCTTGTTTGTAAGGGGCTAGAGTCAACAGTGATGTACATGGATGCTCGCTTTTAGTTAGTATCCTGTATGTGAAAGTAAGATCTCCGCGAAGCCGTCGGTATTCTGTTGCGAACACACGGAGTACATGAAGACGCAGTTCTTAACTTAGACTGGATAGCCTAAACGTTATCTTTGTGTCTCTTCTTTGAGGTTGTTCCGATGGACGAGCTTCTCCTTTTAATCATGTACACCAGGCCTGGATTACATATCCAACATGAGTGCGAATGTAGGATTTAATCAATATTGGTATTAACCGTCGCTCAAACATGCCAAGAGCTCGCCCCAAAAGTCTCAACTTCAAGTTCTCTACACTTGATACATTTTAACATTGTAGCGAATTGCCAAGACTCTCTTGCACTATTTTGCCTGTCACGGTCACTAGCCACTTGTTTCAGAACGTGTTGCCCCGAAAGGTATGTGTTGATGAAGCTGCTGCACACCGTCAGCAAGTGGCACTTTGCAGGGTTCAGTGGGAGCTGGTTCTTTTCTGCCTCTTCGCTTATCCGAGTCAGATCTTCCTGGAGATAAACACGGTCGGATGCTGAGCGAATTGCTCTCCATATTTTAGCATTGTCCGCAAATATTTGCGTTGGGGATAGAATGTCTGCTGAAAGGTTATTAATGTAGACTACAAAGAGTAACGGGCCTAGGACGCATCCTTGTGGTACACCAGTTGAGACGCACAGGATTGCAGAGTGAGTACCGGCTACTCTTACACTGGTTGCTTCGTCGTATAATCAGTTTTCTAACAAAGTGAGCAGGAACCGTTGATACCGTAGAAAGCAAGCTTTTGGAGGAAAAAGAAGTGCTTGACCCTGTCGAACGCCTTAGAAAAATCCAAGTAAATCACATCTGTGGGGACTGCTTCATCAGTCTTCTTGGTCCATGAGTCCCGAGTAAGAAGCAAATTGGTGAGACAAGATCGTCTGCATCTGAAAGAAGGTTGGGCATTAGAAATTATCTTGTCTTTCAAAGTATCACATCAGTTCATCTGCGATTTCGTGAGCGCCGTATACCAGAACGTTTAGGAGTCAACATTCTAAAGCTCCAGTATGTCGTCATGCTTTGACCATCATTGTCGTCGGCGTCATTGCGCACTAGGTGAAAGGAGAGGTCTCTCCCCTTGTATACAACCAAAGCAGGGGATCACGTCATGGAAGCCTATACTTGGTAAGCATGAGTTAAACTGTCACCATGTTGGATCTGAATTGAAACTGTAAACAAACAATTTCGTTTCCAACACTAATTAACTATGACCTACCGACTAGGATCCCAGTGTAGTGATGGCCAGAAGATAACATCCGAACATAGTTTGGAAGGCTGACCAATACTCGAAACCATGAAGTACCGGCACTTCTGATGCCACATCACTGTAGGCACAGCGTTTCAACATGAAGCACGCAGTGCTATAGGGAACGGACCATGCTAGAATCTCTGCGATATTTAGAAAGCTCCCGAGAGTTCTGTGCAGCTTTGAGGCACATCCAAAGCTATGCACATTTTAAAACCTACTTTAACATTTATTCCCAAGAGTAGGAGTCGCGATAATCCTGCAGAAATACACCAAACGTCAAACAGGAAAATGTAACTCAGACTTGTGATATTTGCATCTCCTGCGGATACAACCTATTTTTAGTATTCTGCAAAGTAGCCAAATCACAGCAATAATGTTAGCCCATTCTGATTCATGAAGTAAGGCATTCGAAAGTAATTCAAATGCACTAGGACCGCAATCACCTTGTTGCTGAATATTGCTTATTGCATTCCTATGAACCGACACGTGGCCAGATATTAAATGAGGCCGAATTGAGTAATACCATAACTTTCCGTCTGCTCAACATAACCCTGTCGGCAATATGCTCATCGATAAACGCTGCTACATTTTCGGATCAGCACGTTCTGAATGTAACGTTAATTCTCACAGGCGGTAAATTCAGTCTTGGCGTGATACTAGGATACTGCAAGTGTGTTCAATGAGGTAAGCAGTATCAACGTTTTGGAGAACAGCCACTCCTGCTTTGAATCACGTTCTCGGCCCAACGATGAGTACGGTCATTCTGATGTGAGGACAAAGTGACTCACTTATGCAGTCGTTTGGCGCACAGGCGGACGTTATCTAAATGCCGTTGGTTTCAGATTATTGACCGGAAGTGACGCGACTCTGTGCACTGAGATACAGGAAGAGGATACCGAGGTTATAACGCCTGCACATCAATAGAATAAGGTTAATGTTTCATGGTGCGACGGGTGATGTTCTAATGCAGTCGGCCGCCAGACACTGGAGCAAACGTAGAGTCTTGAAAATAGGAAACCGGACAGTGATAAAACTGATGAATAAATCTATCCGTGTGATGTTGAATCACGAAGTTTTCACTTTCCCAGATCAAGGGACTTGCCACAGAGTACCCACCTGTTGGGTTATACCCTGGAATCCTGGCCAATACGTCAAGAGGACGATCAATCTATACCTTAACCTTTCGGACGTAAATAGGAAACGGCTGCATCATACACTATTAGTGTAGCATCCAGCTACCCAAAGGTTACACTTATTTCCCACATAGTTTAAAGAAAATTTTCCTGAGTGGACGAAACATCCTCTATGACCGAAGGCTGTTGACGTCAAGTGGCCCACACACCCTAGTGTCCGAATGGCTAGTTTACTTGGAAATTAGTGCCCATAATGATTACTTATTTACTCTCCATCTTAGCCTAACCTTTCGTAGAGGAATTGAACGAACAGAGACCTATTACTTGAGCGGTTTGCATTTGATACAACACGTTACCTGATCTTGTAATCTGTACCTAGTCAACACCTAATTAAGCAACAATCGTCTACATTCTAAAGCGCTAGCACTGGTTTTCACGGATTGCATAATCATTGCATTTTGGAGACTATGGTCTCTGCATCGCCATCGTCATCCTGACGTGTAAGCGACAAATCACTAGGGGCTCCAAAAAATCCTAAAACTGCATAGTCCAAAATCAAGACAAAGCTGAGAGT